CAAATACTCACAGCACAACCAAATACAGAAATGCGCTGCAAATACTCACAATGCAACCAAAAACAGAAATGCTCTGCAAATACTCACAGCACAACCAAATACAGAAATGCGCTGCAAATACTCACAATGCAACCAAAAACAGAAATGCTCTGCAAATACTCACAGCACAACCAAATACAGACAGCACAACCAAATACAGAAACGCGCTACAAAAACAGAAATACACTGCAAATACTCACAACACAACCAAATACAGAAATGCGCTACAAATACTCACAGCACAACCAAATACAGAAACATGCTGCAGCGCTGTAAATATGCACAGCGCATCCGAATACAGAAACGCGTTGCAAATACGCACAACACAACCAAATGCAGAAATGCTCTGCAAATACTCAGAGAGTAAAGTATACCAAATGTCAATTTTATTGATGACCCCTCATAAAAATTTTAAAAAGCTAGACCTTGTTACTGACAGAAAGTTAAACAAAAGTAAAAGAGCTCACCGCTGACAAACTCTGAATAGTCAGTAGCCCCTCACTGCAGAACAAAGATCCAGGGGGTGGGGTTGGATCCACATCTAGGGGGTGGAGATTGTAGGTTTAGGGGTGGAGATGGGTGGGTTTAGGGATCAGGGGGTGGAGACGGGTAGGTTTAGGTATATGTAAGGTGGGAGGAGTTGGATCTGGATCCAACCTCGCCCCCTGGATCTTGTGTTCTGCAGTGAGGACCATCTCAATGAAGTTATGTCCGGTCCCAGTCAAACCACACCCACTACCCGCCCCCAACAACGTAAGGAGAGACCAACGCAAATATTTAAATTTATGGTAAAAGAATTAAACAAAATAATGTTTTTAAAATTAAAAAGAGTTGTTTAATAAATCGACATCATTTCTTAATTGATAAAAATATTCTACCGGTTTTAACATTAGACCACAATTTTTTCACTTAAAAAATTAGGTTATACAAGTTTTCTAAACAATCACATATAAACCACAGGAAAATTGTTTTTTTTAGTTTTAGTTATTCACACTTAATTCAGTTATTCCTTTAATCGGTCTTTGATTTTTGTCAATCTTAAACTTGTTGTGTGGTATATCAGTTAAAACACACATATGTGCGCACAAATATCAGGATGAAAACCGTAAAAACAAGTCAGGATGTCTCTGATTTTCCATCCGTAAGACTTGCGGTGTCTTATCTATCACTTGAAACAGATGCACTTAGTTAAGCATCTAAACTTTTACAACATCACACGAAATGCAAAATATTTCGTCTCGCGCAGCGCAATGAAATGAGAATGGTGGTGGGTGTCTGGATGTATGATTACTGATGCGTCAATATCAGTGTACTGTATTTCAAAAGGTTGTAAAACATCTAAGCTGTTTCTGGGGTTTATAGTGATAGTTATAGTTTATGCATGATCAGTTGTTTACTTTTGTGGCAGGTAGATGTAACAAGCTGAATATTGTTCATTCAGCCTGTTGTTGTCACTAATTATTCGTTTGTTTTAAATCCTAAAATGTTGTTTTTTTTTCCAGTTAATAAATCTCTTTCTATCAATGTGGTCTCAGACTTTGAACCCCACTGCATGTATGTTTCCTATAAAATTCTGAAGAATTTTACAGTAAGTGTTCATACATTCCTCAAGTTCCTTGGCATCACATGATCAAATTTATTACAAATATCCCTGAATGTGATTACCATACATCATGCAGGGCTGTAGTATGAATATTTACAGACCTCTTTCATGTATGTTGTGACGACGATCGCTGCCCAGAGGTCAGTCAAGCTGAAGAAGTCTTTCCCGTAGTAATATTTCTTCAATTTGGCAAATGCGTCTCCCCAGCTGACTCCTGGTCCGCTGAGTTTCTTGATGATATTGTCTTTCACGGTCTCTAGTTTGGTGGACCAGTCTGGTTCTTGGTATAAGGAGGCCATGCACCTTCAGAGAAGAACATACTGCTCTCATTTTTGACATTGAACTCAATTGAATCTCTGTGTGTGTGTTGTTTCTCAGGGTTCGTACCAGGTGGATCCAGAGACTCCGCTCAGATAAAGGATGCAGTCCAGAAGACCCGCTTTATCAAGCTGAACCAGGGATCCCAGCAAACCCACCATGGCTCTTTGTCCTCCTCCAGAACTTAATAATGCAATGTGTGGCACTTTATTCTGAAATGCACACAGTTTGATTGTGCAAACAGGTAATTTCAAGAAAGAATTGCCAGGTAGATAGATAAATGAAGTATAAGGTGTCTGACCTGACTGCAGTGTATCTCGTGTTTCTGCAGGCTTTGAAAAACAATTTCTCTCCTTTTGACTACAAACTCCTCCTCTTTTGTATGTAGAGCGTGTGCGATTCTCACTTCACCGCTGCAAACAGACAGACCACCCTTACCAAAAAGTAGTATACTTCGTTTATTTTATAGTAAGTATACTTAAGTAAAGTTCAAGTATATTTTTAAGTATACTTTATGTAGTAAGTACACAAATATCAGTGTACTAGTAGTATAAGTCAAGTATACTTAAATGTCATTTTAAGTATATTTCTGAGAAGTACATAAAGCCCATTTCTGAGAAGTACATAAAAAGTAGACAAAGTATACTTTCCTATTTTTAGTTTAAAAGAAGTATACTAATAGCACACTTGAATAAACTTCTTTTTCGTAAGGGCAGTGCTGAATTTAACATCTCATACTACTACGGTGAAAGAGAGCAAGGTAAAATAAACGTTTAATATTGTTTACGTGATTCGATTTGCAAAAACAGATAACTCCGTTTTTAACAATTTTCAAAAATCAAGTGTTTTCATCGTGCATTCCAATTAATCTCAATCAAACTGCAGTTCGGTTATTTTGATTAGGTTAAAAAAATAAATAAATAAAAAAATACAGCTAACTAACACAAAAACATAACATAATTTTTAAAAAAAACATGATTTTTGAAAATTAAAAAAAAAAAAAAAAAATTGAGTTTTTGCAAATAAACTTCATATATATATATATATATATATATGAAGAGTTTATTTGAAATTGCATGAAATAAAATAAATGTTGACTGAAATATAATTTAATATTTTCAAAAAGTATGATTCTCATTTCTTTTATAACTTATTCTATTTCAGCTGGTTGAAAGTTAACATTTGAATTTAGTCTATGTCTTTGAAATTTCTCATTTTAATTTAGTTTAACTGGATGTACCAAAATACCAAATTAAAACTGAAACAAATAAAATAGACATTAAAAGCAGTGCCTAATAAAAATGACAAAACCATGCACAATTCCTAAAAGTTTAACTAAACTTAAAATGGAATATATAAATTTAAAATGGTTAAAACAATCATAGTATCTCAATGATGTGTAACACATTTTGTTACATCTAGCAACATTCTGTAACATCCAGCTTTTGATATTTTTGTACTTATTTGCTAGAAATTTAAGTCTATAAATGTTTGTTTAAAACGTGTTTATTCTTTTGTCTTGTTTCCTTTAGTAAGATATATTGTGTTTAAAATAGACATTAAAAGCAGTGCCTAATAAAAATGACAAAACCATGCACAATTCCTAAAAGTTTAACTAAACTTAAAATGGAATATATAAATTTAAAATGGTTAAAACAATCATAGTATCTCAGTGATGTGTAACACATTTTGTTGCATCTCGCAACATTCTGTAACATCCAGCTTTTGATATTTTTGTACTTATTTGCTAGAAATTAAAGTCTATAAATGTTTGTTTAAAACGTGTTTATTCTTTTGTCTTGTTTCCTTTAGTAAGATATATTGTGTTTATACAGAGTCAGCATAAATGGGTGCATCCCCACAAATCCAAAAGATAAATTTCTTAATGATCATTAATACAATTCACGGAAAGATGGCAAAATTGTTATTTGTTAGACATTCTACAAATGCAGAAAAATGTATAAAACATTGTATCTGTAAAATACTTAAATCAGCAAATTTTGTTTAAACCTATTTAAACTCCCTGGATTTTAATGGGGATTGTTGCGCAACTTGTCTCTACAAAATCCCCCAAACTCAAAAGGCTGGGTGAAATACTTAAAAATACTTTCACCTTTGGTAGAATGAATATAGTAATTGTCATGTTGAAACAACACCCAGCAATGCAGGGAATGAAGAGAGAGTGGCATTTTCTGACAGTTTAAGGCAATAACTTGTAAACAAAAGCAAGGCACTTGTCGGTAAAATCAAACAACACTACTCTACTACACACAACTAAACACACACACACACACACACACACACAACTTCAGAGGTTATATAAAACATACATGATACATATAAAACTCAAACATAGAGATAGTATGGCTTACTGGTATCACTTTAAAGACGGTTGCATATTCCAGTCATAAGAGTGAGTTCAACTAGGTCTTTGAGGCAATGGAAGATGCCTTGGAATGCTCAAAAAGGGGGGCAGGGAAGATGCCCTGGGGACAAGAAAGTGTCACAAGGTTTTTCTCATGCTAATTCTGGTCTTGGGACCACTATCACATGTCTCCTCTTTCCTGTTATAGCCATACATTTTGTGTGCAATTGTCACAAAGTCTTGCTTGGCCATTTGGTTCCACAGAAGTATTATGTTTTGGGAACAATGGAGAGACTTCTTTGATCAGTTTTCATTGTTGCAGATAAAAGGGAAGACAGTTGATTGGTGTTTATGACCTATCACTGACTTAGTGGAGAATCTTGTTCATTTGGTGGACTCTGGTTCATGGTAAATCCTACATCACCCATCATGAAATGAAAGCTTAAAGTGGAGGCCTGATTATTTCTGGGAGCTTCTCATTTGATTTTTCGTGTTACTTCTGCCATATTTTTACACTTTTTAAAAATGTTTTGGCTCACCTGTTGATAAAAAAAAAAAAATTGCACCAGAATATTTATGTAGTTTTATTCTGTAACTTTCAGGAGGGTGTACTCATTTTTGCAACACAACAGGTGCGTCCCAAATCACATACTTATGCACTTATTCTATGATGTTCTGTAGTATAAATGGTGCGAGTAGTGCGTTCACACTGAAAATTCCAAAAAGAAAAAATCCATTGTAAAGACCAGGATGATGCACTTAAACAACCGAAAAAATGAAGTGTGGAATGTTGGACACTTCATGCACTCAACTGTCGCAGCTTTAATTACATAGTGAAGGGGGAGGGGCTACCAGACTCTGATTATGAATGACAAAATAACCATATATAATTCATACACTTCATGATTGAGTACATAGTGCATATGTACATAGTGTATAAGTGTGTCATTTGGGACGCAGCTAACATGTAATTGCTGAATTTGCCAATTTTCAGAGGGGGCTTACTCATATGCAGACTGGGTAATGTTATTTCTGCACATTACGACAGAGTTATTTCTGCAGGGCTACTACGTTCTCCCTCCAATGAGTCTCACTTAAAATAGCACATTACTGATGTTATCATCTCACTTACACTTGCAGGCTGCTGTGGTGCTTGGGCCCCCGGCACTATTTTTTTTGTACATAAAAGTTTATTTGTGGTATATGGAGACGTGTGTCTGAACTCTGTGCTTTAGTCCACATTAGCTTGAATTAGGTGTGTCCCAATTCGCATACTTATGCGCTATTCTTTGCCATTTTGTAGTATAAATAATGCGAGTATTGCGTTCACACTGAAAATTCCAAAATGAAAAAGTGCACTTTAATTACCCGGATAATGCACTTAAATAACCGAAAAAATAAAGTGTGGAGAATGTTGGACACTTCATGCACTCAAATCTCGCAGCTTTAATTACATAAACAGAGGGAAAGGGGCTATCAAACTCCGATTATGAATGACAAAATAACCATATATAATTCATACACTTCATGATTGAGTACATAGTGCATATGTACATAGTGTATAAGTGTGTCATTTGGGACGCAGCTAACATGTAATTGCTGAATTTGCCAATTTTCAGAGGGGGCTTACTCATATGCAGACTGGGTAATGTTATTTCTGCACATTACGACAGAGTTATTTCTGCAGGGCTACTACGTTCTCCCTCCAATGAGTCTTTCCAGGACTCTCACTTAAAATAGCACATTACTGATGTTATCATCTCACTTACACTTGCAGGCTGCTGTGGTGCTTGGGCCCCCGGCACTATTTTTTTTGTACATAAAAAATGTAAAATAAAGTAGATAATTAAAAAATTTAAACCAATGACAACATTCAACAAAAGCAGTATATAAAGAACAACAGCTTTGGATGGGATCTTAATACATAAAGACAAATTATCAACTAGCCAGTCTATTTGAAATCAAATATGAGGTCAAGTTAGGTGATTGGAGACACTCTTTTCATGTATATCATATAGAAGAAAATTACTTTTGAAGTAATATATTTTTTTAAAAGCCTGTCTTTGTACATTATATAGTTGGGGCTTATGGAGAACACTTCAGAAACTATATTGCCTCCCTTCAGCAAAATCTCAATAACTTTAAAAAAGAAAGTGATAGAAAGAGCATTGTTTTATCTTTTGTTTGCTGCCACCCAGTGAAGTCAAAAGAGACTTCCAACCCAGAGCCCTGAATGATAGGCACTCAAACTGAATTTAGATTTTAAAAATTCCACATTTTCGCCTGTTTATTTTGATGTTTATCCTGGAATTGTGTAATATATATATATATATATATATATATATAGTAACGAATAGTCCACTGAGGCGAGTGTAGTGATGAACCCAAGTGCAGTGTTTATTTAACTAAGTGAGATCCAAAACACAAAGACTTGACTTGGCTTGAATAGACTTGATTTGGCATGAACAGACTAGACTCGAACAGACTTGACTTGGTATGAACAAACTAGACTCACCGACAGCAGGTTACAACATCGAAACACGACAAGAAACAAAGGCTACATGAGGGCTATATATACCAAACAAAAGGGTCACATGACAAGAACCAACCAATGAGAAACAAGACACATGACTAAGTCAACCAATGAGGATGAACCAAGTAACCAACCAGAACATAACACACAAGGCTTGTTCGACTTCATGCGGCGCCGCAAAGATCGGCTGCCGCTTGACAAAAGCAATGCATTCTGGTTAGAAAATGTGTCCGACTTTGATCGACGCTGCTGCAAAGCCACTAGAAGGCAAGCCTGCAACCGTTAGCCGTTAGTTCACTGACAAGCTACACAAAATCGCATTCAAAATCACAGGCGATTCATTGTAGCTTGTCAGTGAACTACGGCTCTGTGTAGTAAATGCCGCTCCATCTGAACGCACGTGCTGGAGATTTACTACTAATCACAGGAGCGGCTTTACTGACGAGATGCACATGAAAATCGCATTCGATTTTTTGCACAGCCCTAGCTAAAGCTAACACTTCCGGTCTGGCAGTACGTGGGAAAGGAGACCAGAGGCCGTTTTTTTAATGGATGTCAATGGAGGAGAGGCTTCACTACGCTGAATAAACAGCTTTTTAGAGGAAACGGCTTATCACTTAATGAATCGACAGCCTATCTGCTAATCTTCAACATGTTTTACACTAAACAATACTTTTGGATGTAACTATTTTTAGAGTTTACCACAAAAAAAATGCTGTTTTATTAGAGAAGACTTTTTGCGACAGGTGTGATTCAGCTTACGGCACTTCTCATTCATTTCTATGGGATCCGTAAACGGCGATTGAGTGTCGCACAACTCTGACTGAAATTCAATGACGTCAAGGCTGTGATGTGGTTATTATGGAACACGTGATCAAAGTTAGACACAGAGAACAGGGTATATATCAGGATGAGCTAACGAGGTAAATGGCATACAGCTGAAGGTAATGGAACAATCATAGAGAAAGGGTTGATGGGAACTGAAGTCCAGAAAAAAAAAATGTCAAGAAGAGTGCCCTCTGGTGGCTGTCAAGGGCATACCAGCTGCTGGCTGTGACATAACCCCCCACTTAAGGAGCAGATTCCAGACACTCCCAAAGGCGGGGCCGGCCAAACATGAACCCCGGCAGACGGCCAAGGCGGGGCCGGAGGAATAGACCAGTGAGGCTCCAGCCGAACAGGAACCCCGGCGGGTGACCAGGGCAGAGCGGAGAGTTTGGCAGGCAGCAAGGGCAGAGCTGAAGACCACCTCAGCGGAGCTGACAAGGCAGATGACCCCTCTTGGTGGCTCAGGCAGGACTGCAATGAAGAGCACAGAGAGGTTAGTAACAGCCTTGATGGCTGTAACAGGGCAGGCAAACGGTTCAGCAACAGTCTCTTTGGCCATGACAAGGCAGACTGAGAGTTGAGGAGTGGGCACCACCACCCAGAGAGGAACTGAAGCGGATGCCGCCGCCTCGGGAGGAACATAAGTGGACTACAGCACTTTAAGCATGAATGTGCGACTGTAAATCATGCAGAGTTGTGTTATGAATATTTACAGACCTCTTTCATGTATGTTGTTATGACTATTGCTGCCCAGACATCAGTCAAGCTGAAGAAGTGTTTCCCATTGTAATATTTCTTCAGTTTTTTATATTCGTCTCCCCAGCTGACTGCAGGGCCGCTGAGTCTCTTGATGATATTGTCTTTCACGGTCTCTAGTTTGGTGGACCAGTCTGGTTCTTGGTATAAGGAGGCCATGCACCTTCAGAGAAGAACATACTGCTCTCATTTTTGACATTCAACTCAGTTGAATCTCTGTGTGTGTGTTGTTTCTCAGGGTTCGTACCAGGTGGATCCAGAGACTCCGCTCAGATAAAGGATGCAGTCCAGAAGACCCGCTTTATCAAGCTGAACCAGGGATCCCAGCAAACCCACCATGGCTCTTTGTCCTCCTCCAGAACCCAGTAATGCAATGTGTGGCACTTCAATCTGAAACGCACAAGATGAATTTTGCATTAATCAGCTATAGAACCATTTGTAGGTAATTTAAAGAATGAATAGCAGGCTGATAAATGAAGTATTAGATGTTTGACCTGACTGCAGTGTATCTCGTGTTTCTGCAGGCTTTGAAAAACAGTTTCTCTCCTTTTGACTACAAACTCCTCCTCTTTTGTATGTAGAGCGTGTGCGATTCTAGTCAGTCTTTTTTTCCCTCAGAATTTGACATTATATCTCGCAAATGTGAGTTTATATCTCACAATTCTGAGAAAAGAAGTCAGAATTTCAAGATATAATTTCGCAATTGCAAGAAAAAAGTCTGATTTGTGAGAAAAAAAAGTCAGAATTTTGAGATATAAACTCGCAATTGTGAGAAAGTCAGAATTGCAAGTTTATATCTCACAAATCTGAGAAAAAAGTCAGAATTGTGAGTTTATGCATGCAACTGTGGGAAAATAGTCAGAATTGTGTGATTAAAAATTACCTTTTTTATTTTTTATTTAGTGGTGGAAACAAGCTTCCATAGTTTTACGATAGAAATGTTAAACGACCGTCAATAATATCAAGTGATAGGAATTACTTTACTTTTTTTTTTTTTTTTCTCAAATTTCAACATCTTAATTGGAAATATGGTCTGCCATTTAGGTGATTCATGTAATTCATAACTGAATGTGATTAGACAAGAATATAATATACATATAAATAAGATTGATATGCATATTTAAAAAAAAGCATTCAAATTAATTACTTTACAAAAGCTTTACTAATTCTTGTTCTTCTCTGTTTCTTGTTCTTTTTCTCTGTTACCATAAATCCATTTAATCTTTATTTATTTAATTCATTTAAATAAATAAACCCTTCAAGACATGGTTATGGATATATATTTTGCTCTATATAAATCGGAGCAGAATTACCAACCTTTCCTGAAGTTTGGATGCATTCATCTGTCGAAATTAAAGGTAAAGTCTATCATTTGAATACTATTAGGGAAAATCTTTTGATAAACTCTTAAGTCATATCTCAAATGAAAATTATTAAAGCTGTCTTAGAAACTTGATTACCTTTATGCCTTCATTTTTTTTTCCACCTTGCACTTATGTCTCGATTTTATTGTTTTACATTTGATCCAGTCTTTCAATCTTAAACTATGAAAATCCATCATAAAAACAGCCTATTACTGCATTTTAAACCCATTGGAAATCTGAACAAAGAGTAAAATAACCAAATTATGTGAAGATGATAAATATAATTTTTGGTGCATGAATGTATAATGCATTTTCTTAACTTCTTATTTAAGCAGAATTTTGTGAATCCAGCCCAGGGTTGTTATACTACAACTATTGAAACTTGAAATAAACGTTAACGGAAAAATACCGGTTTAAAGAGACGGATTAAAGTCCATAAATGCTTGTTTAAAACGTGTTTATATGTGCTGTTTCCTATATAGTGAGATAAAATGTTTTATGTTTTTTTGTGAGATCAAATGTTTTATGTGCATGTTTTTAATGCAGAGTTATTTCTGCAGAGCTACAGTATTCCTCTCAACCACTCTCTCCAGGAATCTCATTATAATACCACAATTATTTCTCACTTAATACTTACACTTTCACTTTATGGCTGTATGGTACCTTTCTTTAATTTATAGAGCTTTCCTTATACAGTGTGTCTGATAAATGCACTGAAGCTGTATGTCATTAAGAGAAAGGTCGAGACCGGATAAAACCAACATACTTTTAATGTAGTGGTCTAGAATTGGGAAATATTTGCATGAGGGATAATGAATCTGCTTGGCCAAAAAAATGTATAAAATGTATGACACTGAACACATACTAACCTGAATTCATTGTAAATTCACAAAAGGTCTATAATAAATGCCATATTGACAAATAAATTAGCTCAACTTTAAATAATACATTTTTCCCCCTTGATTTTTGTGTTTTGTCTTGGTTTTGGAAAACGATGTTTAAAAGGAATATGGGAAAACAATGGTGAATTTGAAAAGTTCTTGTGTTCTATATGTGATGTGACATTTCCAAACAAATAAAAGATTTCAAATGTATCAACCAATGCCAAACTGTAAAAGCTTTCATTTTAATATTCACAATCAGTGTTGGGAAGGATACTTTGGAAATGTAATAGGTTACAGATTACAAGTTACCCTGTTTGTAACTATTTCAAATACTTTATTAAAGTAATGTAACTCACTGTAAAAAATAAAAAGTTGAGAAAACCTTAAAGGTTTAAGGCAACCAGCTTCAGCAGATTTTTGAGTTTTCTCAACTTTTTATTTTTTACAATGATTACTTTACTAAATTTCTAATGTTTTTAACTGTTAATCATTTTGAAACATTTAAACAGTAGCCTAGTACTCAACACTGATTACTGTCAGACTTTCAGAATCCTTCCTCACATCAGATTAATTTGTAATAATTTAATTTTAAAGCACAACCACCACAAAATCCGACTTTAGCACCTCTTTTTAGTTTGAGATCGTTCTGAGGTTAAATACAGATTTTGAATCATGACAAGAATAATATTTATATTATAATTATATGATTAATAGCTATTTACTTTTTTTTTTTTTTTATCAAATCTTTGTTATGTCAGGAAACACTGGCATCTAACAATGCCTTAGAAAAAACAGTTAATCTTAAAAAATAAAGCATATGCATTAACCCATATTGGAAATAAAAAGTTATCGAATAAGCATGTGTCTGTGTCCTAAACTCCTAAAACATTGGTGTCTCATATCTGAGAGCAGTCGATGCAATTTGGGAAAGAAATCAATCAAATCTCAAATGTAACCCCCTTTTATAAGCGTTAACATTTTCTTAAGTAACTGTAATTTAATTAAAAAATTTTCTCAGTAACTGTAACTGATTACAGTTAGATTTATTTTGTAATTAGATTACGTAATTCCGTTACTCCCCAACACTGTTCACAAATAAATGCGATCAAATCCAAGTAAACAAATAAATAATCTAGTGTCAATATTCATTAAATTGTTATATTAAATTGAAAACATACATTTTAATATATTTAATATTTTTAATAAATGTATAAATATTTATTATATTTAATAGTTTTTATATATTTTATGTCTTTCCAATTTGTTTCTATTTAATATTTAAACTTTTTAAAATTTTTATATACATTCACATTTTCATTTGATTATAAAGTCTGTTTAGCATGATAAAAAAAGCATAGATTATATTGTTGCTCTTTTGTTAGTTTTGACTGCTTTTATTGTCCTCATTTGTAAGTCGCTTCGGATAAAAGCGTCTGCTAAATGACTAAATAAATAAAAATATTATCATCATCACAGTCGTTTATCTACGTCACAGTGACGTCAAAATCAAATTATGATTCCCTCTCTGATTTAGATTCCAGATTTTTCGTCTCTATAGTTTAAAATGTTTACCTACTTTTTTTTTTCATGTCCAATTCATTTATTTATTTTTTATTTGTTTAGTTGTTGTCATTTTGTATTCTATTTATTCTAGACTTTTTTTCCCCCCCAAATAAAATACTACTGCATGTCCAGGTTTTTATTTACTTGTTTGTTTCATTGATTGTTTGTCAGTTTTATTCTAGACTTATTTATTTGCCATTTTATTTAAAAAAAAAAATATATACTACTGCATGTCCAATTTTGTTTATTATTAATTTTTTTGTCATTTTGTACTCTATTTATTCTTATTTATTCACCTTTTAGTTTCTTTTCTACATAAAATAAGTTATTGTTACCATGTTAGTATTTGATTTTGATTTTTTTAATAATTTAAAAAAATCTTTATTTTAAATTTATTGTTTTTTTATTATTCTTTTTTCTTAATACTTTTGGATACTTAAAATTCACATAATTTTAGTTGTTGATCCCCTTGACGTCATCATCCACTACAACTCGGCAATCTAAAAGCATTGTGTGAAATTTTAGTATTGTAAATATATTTGTAATCAAATTTATATTTGACTACAAAACTAGTTTCAGGCCTTTCAGCAGAAGCCTTTAATATCAGCAACTTCGGGCAGTGGCTTAAATGTGGCTTTTCTCATTAGATTGATTTATTTGTTTATTTTTAAATCTTGTTTCAAAATGTGCATCTGGAGCCTGTTTCATAAAACAAGTTTACCAAATAAGCCAGGCTTATTTCAGTTAGTCTGACTTATTATGAACCAAATCAACTGACAATACGTCAGACTAAAGCCCTGTTCACACCAAGAACGATAACTATAACGATATTAGCCTACACACCAGCGTCTGTTTATTATAAGCGCACATGCGTCTGCCGCTTTAAATTCTCACGCTCGTTACAGCAGGATGGATTCTGATTGGCTGTCAGTGTTTTATCGTTCATCAGCTGGGAAAAAAATTGTTTTGAATGTGATCACAACCATATCTGTATCGTTATCGTTGTGGTGTGAACTATGCTATTCTTTAATATTGAGAGCGATTTTTAGAACTCTATATTTATCGTTATCTTTATAGTTATCGTGCTTGGTGTGAACGGGCCTTAACTGAAATAAACCTGGCTTATTTGTGACCCTGGAGCACAAAAGCAGTGTTAAGTCGCTGGGGTATATTTGTAGCAATAGCCAACAATACATTGTATGGGTCAAAATTATCCATTTTTCTTTTATGCCAAAAATCATTAGGATATTAAGTAAAGATCATGTTCCATGAAGATATTTTGTAAATTTCCTACCGTAAATATATCAAAACTTAATTTTTGATTAGTAATATGCATTGCTAAGAACTTCATTTGAACAACTTTAAAGATGATTTTCTCAATATTTAGATTTTTTTGCACCCTCAGATTCCAGATTTTCAAATAGTTGTATCTC